TACTCACATTGTTGTTTTGAACGCAATCTTCTCAATAACTGACCTCTTCTTCATTGTTATGCAATCTAACATTGCTCTGGCTACCTTGCATCCCAACCCTCGTGTTAATTATGAAGGGAAGATCTTCTATGGGTTGTAGATCAATCCCCCAAAATTCAGCATTAAAATTGTGACACAAATCAATTGTGAGCAAAGTAGTTTTTATTTTGTAATTCACAGCGTTTGGTTATACTTTCTGTTTACTATCTATAAGGGTGCTGATGTAGTCCTTCTGGCCTCTATGAATCTCATGAAGGACAGATCACTAGCTACTAGAATATCCAAGGTATTTTTCTTTGGTTGGAAGCTCTCTTCTGACAATAATCGTTATGATTCACCGTTGCTAAACAACAACATTCTAACATCCTCTCTAGCATCTTTCTTTTCAAATTAATCGAATCCAATTCCATGAACAAAAGGGCCTACTGTCTCTTATAAATATTCTCTTTTTTCAACTCGCGGAACGACTACTCACACTCAGGATTTCAACTCTGTTTTCTGAGCAACATATGAGTTACACAAACCTTCTGACGTATTTTGCAAATTTTCGTTAGTACGTGAGATATTTTGGACCTTGTACTCATCACATAATTTGAAAATATCGACCTCTTCAGCTTTGAGCTTCTCCATTTTTATGATATACCTCAGCAATATTTTTTAGCTGGTTATAATTTTTTTTTCAATTGACGTCGCGAATTAAATTACCAGCAGCAGAAAGTATTCTTCCGGTTTATATACTACAGACAAATTGCTACGATATCCTCTATATTTTTTATTCGACCATTAGTATTGGTTATGTACAACTGAAAAAAAAAAAATTTTTTTGTAATATGAACGGACACATATGTGAAAGTGAAACTACGGAGTACTATAAGAGCTATCCATATTGAGATTGCTGCAACACTTGACACGTGTTCATCAATTATTGCTATCAGACGATTGATTTTACGCCGTGGACAACCTCAACAATTTATCATAGACAATGGAACAGATTTTGTTGCAGCGGAAAAATAGCTCAAAGAAGCTGCTAGTACGTTGGATTTTACAAAGTTGTCAGATGAAGTTACTTGCCGTGGAAATTCAACCCTCCAGCTGCTAGCCTTATGGGTGGAATGTGGGAACGTACGGTTCGTTTCGTAAAAACAGCTCTCAGGGTAACTTTGAAAACAGCTTGCCCCAGAGAAGAAGTTCTTCAAACTTTGATGGCCAAAATTGAATATACACTGAATTCTAGACCTTCAACACATATCTCAGTAGACCCTAATGACCCAGAAGCGATCACTCCCAATCATTTTCTGTTGTTGAGACCAGGTGGTGTCGATATCTACAGTGAAAACAAAAATGATATACTCGGGAGAAAACAGTGGCGGTTCGCTGAAAGTTTGGCAAATTCATATTGGAGAAGGTGGGTCACAGAATATCGTCCTACCCTGATTCCACGAAGTAGATGGCATTCCAGAAGTGGAACTATCGAAATAGGAGACATAGTTGTGATAATAGATGGAAATGCATTTAGAAATGACTGGTTATTGGGTCGCGTAACTGAAATGTTACCTGGCAGAGATGGCGTGGTACTCGTCATTCGAATCCATACGGAAAAGAAGCAGCTTCATTAGACCAATCACTAAACTGTGTATTTTGCCTACTGGGATGAAGACTTGACTTCTTCACGGGGTGGAGGATGTTGAAGATGCTGTATATAAGTTTGATATTTTATTTTGACAGATTAGTCACTTGTTTAAGACAATTCAATATTGAGAATTTACTGTAAGTCAAGTTGCAGTCAAGTTGCATTTGAAACGATATCAACCAGGTTTATTAACTTAAAAAGTATTGGTTATGTACGACTGAAAAAAAAGGGTTTTTTGTGATATGAACTGACACATATGTGAAAGTGAAACAGATGAAATATAAGAAAAGTTTGGGCGCATCAAAAGCGAAAACTGCGATGCAGAGTGACAGTAAATTCTTCGTAGGAAATTGAAACAATGCTGTTGAGTCACTTCATTGGCCAAAATACTGTTTTCCAATTCGATAAAACAATTGTAAAAAACAATCGTTTCACATGGTAAATAACAAAATCACACTACCTATACATCTCTGCAGGAATTAATTTCATACAGGGATTCAGTGGCGAATGTTTTTGGTTTCATGAGGCATTCAAATTCTTGGTTCTCAGAAGAGGAGAGCATTATATTTGCAACAAACAGCCTTGTAGAGAAAATCTCCCAATTCCTTGACAACAAGGAGATTCCAGTTGCTGTATTTCTCGATAAGGAAGGAGCATTTCGCAAAGCACTACCAAAGTATATAGGATCGTCTCTGGCTAGGAAAGGTATAGAATCGACCATAACTGGCTGGATTTATGCGATGCTGGTAAACAGAACTGCAACACCAACTTTTCAAGGCGAGGCCATTAGGTTCATGGTCACCAGAGGTTGCCCTCAAGGTGGGGTACTATCTCTGCTTCTGTGGTCGCTCCTGATTGATAGTCTGCTTGATACCCTTGACAGAAGAAGAGTAGATCTGCAAGCTTATGCAGATGAACTTGTCATCTTGGCAAGGTCCACGTCGGGAAGGATATTCTCTAAATCATGATGGACGTTGTTCACAGTTGATGCCTGAGGGGGCAGATGTCTGTCAACCCCAGCAGAACTGTGATAATCCCCTCCACCAGGAGGAGAAACTTGGACGATCTAACGCCACTTTTCCTCAATGGTGAGGTCAGAGATGAAATATCTCGGCATTGTCCTTGATGAAAATCACCAGGAAAGCTCATTTGGAGAAAGTTTCACACAAAGCCAGACTGTCTCTATGGACATGTCAAAGGATTTCTGGTAAAACTTGGGGTTTAGGTCCCAAACAAATCTATTGGATTCATGTGATGATTGTCAGACCTGGTGGTCGAAGGCTTTACAGAAAACGGCCCAGGCAAAGCTCTCTGACTTACAGATACAGGCTTTTCTGGTTATCAGTGCCACACCGTCAGTGGCCATGGCGATCCTTCTAGATCTACCTCCTCTCTACATTTTTGTGGAGAGAGAGGCTAGATGGACTGCATGTAGACTTGTGCACATTGCCAATTGCACGAATCAATTGAATGCAGAGTGCAACAGACTGTTGATTGACATTGGAAGTCACAGCATTCTGGAAATGACCTCTGACTTTATGCCTTCAACGGTCAAGTGCGAACTGACTGGATCCTCCGGTAGAAGGAAATATTAAGAGCAGATAGTTGCTGGTTCACAGATGGATCAAAACCTCTGCGACTGTATTGGTATTGGGAGAATCCAACCTCATACACAAGTAAATGAAAATATTCCCAGACAGTCAAGCGGTGTTGGAAGCTCTTGGATCCTACCGAGCTACGTTTAAATTGGTAGCAAATTGGTCGGGATTCCTGGCCATGCTCTCCTGGAAGGCAATAAGGCTGCGACTCCCTTGCAGAGGAGGGTGCTGCATGCAGCTTCATCGTACCAGAACCTGTCATTGGCATCGCTTCAGGCTTTGCCAAACAAAGATTGAACACCTGGATGGCAAGAAGATTTGAGGACTTCTGGCAGAATCTTTCAGGATTAGCTCACTCCAAGGCGTCTATCAACCCTTCAAAGCTTGATACCAAACAGTTGTTGGACTAGAGTAGGAATGAACTGCGATGTCTAACAGGCATTTTTACAGGTCACCCTCATTTGAATTATCATATGCAGAGACTCGGACTGTCGAAAGACAGTTTGTGTTGCCTCTGTTTGGAAAATGATGAAACAGCAGAGCATATACTTTGTGCCTGCCCCGCTGGGGACCGAATCAGGTTTTCAGAGTTTGGCAGAGCCGTACTCTCACCATCTGACCTAAAAGACCTCTAACCATCGGCTTCGGCTTCGTTAAGAAGCTAGGTTTATTTGGTCGAGTTTGAATAGGTGTGTGCCACAATACACCTTTGCGGGTTGCGGTGGGGGGTCGAATAGAACCACTCATCTTGGGCCAAACCTAACCTTTATTTGCTATACCAAATTATCTTCTTTTCTAAATTATTCGAAGGCCTAATCACAAACGAGTTCAATGAAAACTATGAGTTTCTAAAACGTCCAAGTCAAATTATTACTTTCACTCTGGATTTCTGTTGGCACCATTGCCAAATTCATGTTGTATTTTGAGAGTTGTATGAATCTGAATCATTTTATTGATTGTGGAATCGTGTAGTAGAGTGAGTTGTCTAATTCAGTTATCAGTCATATTTTTGACCCCGCCACTATCGCATCCAAACGAATTTGAAAATCACTTCAAATTTATGAAAGACCCCAATGGTTGAACAACGTGTCATTATATAGCCTTCAAAATAATTCAACAGTGGGGTGAATTTTTGAATGCTGTCTGACAGTTTGAATACTCGAATTCAACATCCATAAAGTTTGTGTACTAATTTCGATCCATCGAAAATTGATGTATATTTTCTAAAAATGCTGGTTGTGTTTTATAGATTCTACTTTCAGGTATACCCACCTCTTTCAATTTAGTGCCGCGGTAGATGTTGATCTGAATCAACTGTATGCAGGAGGACACTTGTTTCAACAGACAAGTTTCAACATACACGGCCTCAGTGAATTGTGCTTTAATTGTTCGACGGTATTCAAACACTTCAACACAGCACTGGATTTGAAGGAGTGTCAGCAGTGTTTTGTCACGACGACCTCCAGATTTGTCACTCCTTGATTTATACTCGTGTGGATACCAGAGATAGGGTGGAATTCACACAATCAGCGTTTTTGAGAGAATTACGTGAACTGATGAATACAGTCGAGTGACAGAATGTGCAACAAAATCACTTAGAAATTTTGGGATGATGAAGCAGTGTCCTCCTCCAATAAAAATCGCCAGCTCCGTTTCTCTAAACTGCTGAGCGTGGTTTCTGAAAAAGGATTTGTTTCGCTTTCATTTGGTCCACCTAAACAAAAAAACAATCATTCATAATGAAATTGTATTCATCACAAAATATGCTCATGGATTTCACTCATTTACGAATTTCCAAAATCCTTGTGCTCTGTCATCATCGGGTGCCTCTGCAAAAGGTTTTGTACCATCTTCGGCAACATACTGATTGGCCTGTACATCCACTACTAATTCATAGTTGAGAACTTCTGAGGCGAGTTGCTGTAATCAAAACAATTCGTACATTGTGTTACGTGTTAGATATTAATTTTTTGATTTCATTCGGATTTCTCAATAAGTTACAGTCTAACATCTACTTTAACTTCTAGTCTACACTCTGTCCATCCAAGCAACGAAGTGCTCTGAAAAATTATCATTCATAGTGCACGTGACCTCCCAGACAAGGCTGCTCGTACAGAGTCGCTCTAAGGAACGGCCGATTTTTCTTTCGAAAAATTGAGTTGGGTATAGGAAAAGTATCCAAAGTTCAACTGATGAAGGATACAAAAACAATTTTGTCTATTGAACATCCAATAATTCATTAGTTTATTACCAACTTTGTCGAAAGTTCTTCAAAGAGCTGTTGAAGTTCAGTTGAAAGAAGACATTGACGATTTCTCTATACTTCCAATAACTCAATCCGGATTTCGTAAAGGATAAAGTTGTACAACTGCATATAGTGGATGATATTGAAAGAGCAAGTGTCGCAAACAATAATACAGTATTGGTACTTCTTGTTTCCAGTAGAGCGTTCGATACTATTAATTTCGATCCAATGTTATTAATTCTTGGCTATATAGGATTCTCTGAAAATGCTATATTACTAATCAGATCGTATCTCACCAACCGTCAACAGAAGGTTACCATAGAAGGAAACAGCTCACAATATTCAAAGCTGATATATGGAGTGCCGCAGGACTCTACTTTGGGACCCCTTTTGTTTGATATCTACATATCTCAACTTGCAAAATGTTTAAAATTTTGTAATATACATTTGTATGCAGATTATACCCAGTTGTATTATAGCTCCTTACTTGAAATGATAGATAATGCGTGTACTCAAATCAATACTGACTTAAAATTATTTGTGAAAAATGCTTCTGATCACTGCTTGAATATAAATTGTAGTAAATCCAATGTTATTGTTTTCGAACCAAAAGGCTCTAGAAATGATATTTGCAAATCTGTGAAAGTAGTAGTAAATGATCATGTACTTGAGGTTGTCCCAGAAGCCAAAAGCCTGGGCATCATTTTAGATAAGGACTTGAAATTCGAAAGTCAGGTTAATCAGTTTATTAGGCGTGCATATTATTCACTTGAAATTATATATGGACACCGAAATTTCCTACACGTGAAGGTGAAGGCGAATTGGTGTGAATCGTTAGTTTTATCTATACTCAATTATGCTGATGTTTTGTATGGTCCATGTTTAATCAACCAATTCAAGAAAAAAATTTCAAAAAGTCCAGAATTCCTGTTTACTATTAATTTTTGGTATTAAAGGAAGATAAAGAATATCACATAAACTAAAGGATGCCGGCTGGTTAAATATGAACGATAGGAGAGTTACATGCTGCAACTTTGTTTCACAAAATAATTAATAGTAAAGTACCGTCTTGCTTACGCCAGAAAATTACTTTTAGAACTGATGTGCAAAATATTAATGTGAGATATGAAGGCCGACTAACTCCGCCATCCTTTCGCACAGAGTTATTTAGAAGGAGTTTCAGCTACCAGCTCTGTGCAATTTATAATAACATTCCCGAGCCTATGGAACGAGATGACTTCATTCATTTTAATACCAATTTCAAACGATTCTTATCATCTTCAAACTATTAATGACTCATTAGCTACCTACATATCACAAATCTATAAATAGTCATACTATTTTAGAATAATTAAAATCCTTTTTGTTTATTCTTTTGCGTACTAGGCGAAATTTTGAGGTTAAGTGGAAGATCAATTGAATGATGACTTGTCATCATGTAAATTGAACTTCGCCTTCTATCTTCATATAATTTGATTTGAATGTATTTGAAGATAATAAAGACGATATTTTTCTTCACGGTAGTGTGCGCTGGTCAGGCCCTATTCCCCGAAGCCCCGATACATTCGGGAGGGCGCGCCAGCTTTATCAAGCAATGACTACTCCCCACACCGTGGGGTAAGTGATCATTGGGCCCGAGAATCATGTGCCCTGAGCAAGCGCAGTGAGCCAAGAATGACAGCCTTCTGCATCTGTGCCGCTAAGATTTCTGCCTTAGTGCGGCAAGCAGGTATGATTTTAAGATTCTAGAATAGAGAGGACATCATTCCACCAAGGACTCCAATAATCAGAACATCCATCTTGACAGAGTGATCTGGATAGAGTCTGCGGAGTTCGAAGAGAAAATCTCGATATTTTATCCTTTTTTCCTCCTCTTTTTTGACGATATTCGTCTCGCCAGGAGCTGAAAACTCCACGACAAATATCGTTTTGGTCTGGTGGTCGAGAAGGACTACATCAGGCTTATTAGCTTGTATGAGCCTGAGGGTGGGGAACGAATAGTCCCAATAAATTAGGCACTTCTCGTTCCCCACAACAGATTCAATATCCCCCGGAGCATAGGGCAACACCGGTGTCTCGTCAATACCGTAAAAGTGTCGTAGATGGGTTCTTAGGGCCGCGTTATGTCGATGGATATAGGCCGAGACCACATATGCTGGACATGTTGATAGCAAGTGCATTAGGGTCTCGGGCGCCTCGCGGCAGGTCCTGCACCTTGTGTCAGGAACCTCTATACCCATCACGCGACTGCGGTGTTGAAGACACCATCCTGGCAAGCCATGATGAAACCCTCAGTTTCCGACTTCAGCCCACTCGACCTGAGAAAAGCGAAGGTCAGGCGCTTTGATAAGCCAAGGTCTCCAATGTTATTGAAGAAGACCCCATGCATTGGCTCATCCTTGTGTTTCCGCAGAACTAAAGTGATCTCTGCGGCTTTTATCTGAGCTGTTTGTTGAACAGGTTCCAACTCGGTGACAGAATTGTGGTCACCTCGTTCAGTGTCGAAAACTATACCGAGTTCATCAGTTGCTCGGGCAGCTGCCCTAAAGAGAAATGCTCCAATTCCTGCTCTCTCATGGTCACGGACCATGCATGCAGGATAAATTAAAAAAATAATAAAATAATCCATTTCTGCTTTATCTTTCTCATGCTCAACGCAATTTTTTCATTTATTAGCGGTAATAACAAAACAGCTTCACTTGAAATATTTCAAGACCACATAATTCAAAAGAATTATTTCTTCTTGGAACACGGTTTTTTTATTTCCGCCCAAATAAGCTCTATTGAGTTGAGCTCGCAGTGATGAGAGGGAAGACGTAATATTATTTTATTATGTGTTTTACCCATTTCGTGAACAATTTATTTATTATATTCGGTTTCATGTTTATTCACTATCCTTGAAAGTTTTGCTTTTACCATGTTATCCTCGAATGATATACTTTTCAAACGCACCTAGACATGAATCAAAGCTTTTTTGATGGTCGTAGTAGAAATCTTTTTCACAAATATACGCGGTTTCTTGAGAGTATAATGAGGTGATTCTTATCTGAAGAGTTTTTCAAGCCAGCTGAGAGGCTATCTAAAAAGGCTTGTCTTGAAGAAGTTTTTGATCCAACAACCCAAGTTTTGGAATTAGTTTACCCACGTTTCATCCAGGTAATAGCTTTTTCTATTCTCTCTTCTCTTATTTTTATTGAATATTATCGTCTTCACAATACTATTTCTGGTTTCTCGAAAAACGAATTTTCTGTTTTTTTGAATTTGAAACCTAATGTTTAAAGTTATTTGTGGAATGTCGATCTTTTGAAATTTGGTGAATCAGCATCATTAATTATAACTTTTAGAACTGAATCAATTGTTGGCATTTCTTGATGTGCTTTCCTTCTAATAGCTTTTAATCGAAATCGTCTACCTTGTCAATAATTTTTTCTCCTGAGGAATATGGTTTTGGAGCCACAAAGGAATGATTTTGTTTATATTCTCTCATAACTCCATAGACACTTGAACTAGATACTCTAGCAATGTTTCCTACTCATCTCACGATTTCATCAACGGATAATAAATAATTTGCTTCAACTTGATTTTTTATAAATGTTCATTATGAAATTTTTTTCATTGATATTAAGTTGCAATTTTTTTGGTCTTTTAATAAGTGGAGTGTAGCCGTATCAGTACTTCACATTTCAAGCTTCAAAATACTCCACAGGCATTAGAACGTAAGTTACCATTCCGAAACTGTAGCGATTACCTGAAACAATGATTTCCGCCAGCCGATTGCAGCTAAATCCTGCCAGCGTGAGAAGTCTTGCTTATTTCAAACAATAGATGTAAATGTGCGTGGTGATCATGCTTTGATCACGCATCTATCGTTGTTTTGATTGCTTTGTTCGTTGGATGGACAGAGTAGGCTTGTAATTGGGATTTTGATTATGATTAATGAAAATTTTCGGAAGATATACTTTTTGCTCGAATTTATCAATACCAAGTAATTTTTTATGGATGACTCATGATTTTACTGCTTTTTCATATTCTGGGAGGAAAATTATAAAAAAATCACCACATTTCATATTTCAAACATTCAAAATTAATAACTGAAAATTTTCGTGAAAAAAACGTTTTTGTTATTTATTTAACTGCTTTCATGAAATCACTAATGATTATTTTCAACTAATTTCACCAGGCATTGAAAAAAGTGTGAAAATTAATTCGTTCATAACCCATTTTCTAATTGAAAGAACAGATGGAAGAAACTGAAAAAAATATTTTTACAGAATGAAAAAGACCAGTAAAAATCTTGATTTTCAGGAAAAATGATTTCTTGATACAAATATTTTCCACCAAAAATCAATGAATAAATTAACAGATACGTTTTAATGCAATCAGGAAATGAAAACAAAATAAATTAACTTTTCGTGTCAATGACTGAAATTCCGAAAAAAAAAAAATTATAACGCGTTTGCTTCAAACAATACAATTTGAAATTTTATTTTTATCGAAACCCTATGATGTTTTTCTGTGAGAACGAGGAAAAACAAAAAATAATATTTCTTACCTGGGTTAGTTTACTTATATTTGTACACAAGACTCCGGAGAAGTTATGTTTTTTAGCAACATTCAACGTTTCCTTTTCCATGAATTCTACTGCAGCTATATTTTCTTGGTGTGATTGTGAGGGTTCGGTTGTGATGAAAAGATTATTCATGGCTTTCACGTTGTCATTTGGTACATATTTCAGTCTGTAAAAAAATAATTGAGTATGGAAGTAACAAGAGAAACACATCAGCAAATCTGAACACATTACTGATCAGTTCATTACCTGGTGCCAAAGAAATAAGCTCATTCTAAATACTTCAACATAGATCAGTGTTAACTTCCACTTCAGAAGAAATATTCCGATTGGTCGACGCTCTAGCTATAATATTCAAACTTCTGAAGAAATACATTTTTTAGGGACCTACCTAGACACCAATCTAAATTGAGATAGGCAGTTTTTTGTTAAATAAAATCCCTTTTTTGAAATTAATACCCACTCCTCTTCTTCCAGTTTTCATTAGTACATCGTTCGATTGTTTTGTTTAAACGGGTCGTGTATTGTTATTTGTTTAAAAATGTTTTACACTACTGCTGAAAGGGTTTCAGTTATTGCTTTATTTTTTGGCAACGACCAAAATGCTAATAGAACATCAATGTTATTTAACGAGCAAAACCCTGGTAAACACCTAAGCAGAAATCACGTTCTGGATTTGGTTACAAAATTCAGGGAGACAGGTTCGGTTTTAAATAAGAAAAGAAATGTTCAGAGAAGGGTAGTGAATGACGATAATGCGATTGGAGTGATTGGTCAAGTCATCG